TTTGAAATTCCGACAACGGTCAGACAATAAATGCAGTACCGGAACCCTTACAGACATTCGACAAAGCACCGAATAGCCTGAAGGATTGAAGGAATCAAGAACAGAAGCCATTCCAAGGTCCCGTTACACCGACTGAAGGTTGGGACAATCATATCCAAAGTATTCCAGACTCTTCTATAAAAGAACGAGGCTGAAACACTTTGGAGGGGGTATCTGTAGGCGTCTAAAAATGCCTATAGGTGTCTGCGCATAGCTCGAGACAAAGAGAAGGCGATGAACGCCATTATCCGAGTCAAAGAGGATTATCTGACACCGACAAGCGTATGAAGCAAAACAAGTGGCCCGCGTGCTCACCGGCCAGCTCCAAGTGGTCAACACGCTCACCGCCCACTTCCAAGTGGCCCGCATACTCATCATCCACCTCCGAGTTACGAAATGTATGAAATGAATCAGTGAAGCATACGAGTCAACGTGACACGCGAAACGGAAAAACGTGTTGGGTTACAGGTTGAAGCAAACAAGCAATTGGCTTGAGCAAAGATAAGATATAGTTTTTTTTTAAAAAAAGCCCATTGCTTGTATCTTTCGGCCACATATGCAGCAAACAACAGCATGAGAAGTCCAAGGGATTTTAATTTAAATTATTCTCTCAAAAGCCCAATTGATAGCCCATTCATTTCATGTTGTGGTAACCGGCTTCTGCCAGTTGAGGGGTTACGAAAATTATTCAACAGCAATCATGTGAATCAAGCTCCTTGATTCTCGCGATTTGTCCATAGCTTCCATGTGAAGCTGCCTTGAGATTCCCGCATGATCAACGGCTGCAGACGATGCCATCTGATTGCGATCCGTGGGAAAGGAATTCAGCAAATCATTGAGCGCCACGTGGACACACATGAGCAACCCGATCAAGATCGAACGGCACTGATTCATTCAAGATCTCTTTTGGAGTTATAACCAGATTTGGACTCCCCAAGCATTGGAATGCATCCACTCGCACGCGGAATCAAACCAATGTTTAGGTGAATCACCGAGTCATCTAAACAAGAGCGAACTCGGATGAATCACGATCAAATCAACATCAATTCCGGACTCAAATTCAGAAGTTGGTTTACTGCCATATCAGGAACCCGACTCACTGCCATATCTGGAATCAAGTCAACAAGTCGTTGCCAAGTCAATCAACCACACAAGAGAACCAGAACCGGAAACAAAGGACGAAACGGACAAACACCCGGGGACTCGGCCGAAACCGAACCACCCCAGGGTGGCTCGGCCCAAGCCGAGCCACCCTGAGGTGGCTCGGCCAAGGCCGAGCCACCCATGGGTGGCTAGGCTCAGAACTGTGCGCGGGCACAGTTCTGAGTGCCTATAAATAGGCCTTGTGCTCATTTGTTTCGGAGGTTGGAAATTTTGGAGAGAGGCGAAGCCCTGCTGGATTGAAGACTCAGATCTAAAAAAGATCACAACTTTGAAGGCTTGGAGACTTGGACTTTCAGATCCGGTGCTCGGCGATCACCAACGCCAAATAAGGCAGGAGTTCGAGAGGATTGGATCTGAGATCTACACGATCACGCTCCGGATCTAAGCTTGGTTCTTAGATCCCGAGATTCGAGCGGTTGTTTCCTTGGTGAAACAATCCCTCCCGGCTATTATTCCCTTGGTGGAATATTACGCCGAGCCACCTCAGGGTGGCTCGGCATGAGCCGAGCCACCCTCAGGTGGCCCGACTCCCCCCCCTCTCTCTCTTGTGCACAAAGGCACAGTTCAGAGAGGCTATAAATAGGGGGGGTGGTTGTTCATTTGAGGGACTTCTTCTGAAACTTTTGAGAGAGCCGAAACTCTGCCGGATTGTCACCTCAACTCGGAGATCTGAAGGCTTGAAGACTTGGAGACCCGGATTTGATTCTTAGCGAGCACCCGCACCGAAAAAGGCAGGAGTTCGAGAGAGTCTAATCCTCAGATCTACGTCGTTACACTCCGGATCTAAGCTTGGTTCTTAGATCCCGAGATTCGAGCGGTCGTTTCCTTGGTGAAACGATCCCTCCCGGCTATTATCTCCTTGGTGGGATAATACCCGTAATACGTCGTAGATCTGCTTGGATCCAGATCACGCGGTGGTCCACGGTAAGCAACCCCGGCGCAGGCAAACAACCCACAGAAGCAAGAGACCGGATAACAGGATCTTGTGATTTGTTCGGTAAAAGAGAGAAGTTGTAATTTTGATTTCTTTGTTTTATTTTGATTTTCATTGTAAGCCGGATCTTATAAAAAGACCGGATCTCTTTGTAACGCATAAAGTTGTTAACTGAGTACAATGGAATCGATAATGAAGAAAACACCAACTTTCCCCGCGAACACTACTCAATTCCAATAAAAGTTTTTATTACAATATCAATAGTTTTTTTCAAGTACAAGTACATGGCATGCAGTTTATAATAATTAAAATAATACAAAATATCACTAGTAAAATTGCTGAAATTTTCCAAGCTAATAGTTGTTTTTTGATAAGTTTCAATTCTTTCTCCATCTTCTTTGATTTCAAAATATCTCCGTACCTATTTTCTTTGACATATTGGTTCCCTTGGTTGCTTATTTCTCCTCTTTCATCAGCCCACCTATTTTCTTTGACATATTGGTTCCCTTGGTTGCTTATTTCTCCTCTTTCATCAGCCCATTCAAAAAAATTACATTCTTTATTTGTATTGGTTCCCTTGGTTGCTTATTTCTCCTCTTTCATCAGCCCATTCAAAAAAATTACATTCTTTATTTGGGTATTTTGCACACACCCAATAACACCTCCCCTTATTTTTACCATTCTTGCACACTTTCATGGGTGTTTGGAGATTGCAATCGCACCAAAGTTTAAAAATTTTAGGGCATTCTTTTAATATCATATTGATGGAGGGGAGGCAACTTGTAAACTATGAGAATTTAAAAAAGTGGTAAGATTGAGGGATTCATTGGCACAATAAGCCATCAATCCAAATTTATAGTCTCCAAGGCCTTGGAACTAGCCGTTGGAACTAGCCGTTGCTACAACGTTTTTTCGGTTTTGAATATTGTCAAACGGGTAAGAATACCTAAGGTGTACTCATCATTTATCCCAAAATGTTCTCATTCCAAACCAAACTAAAGAATAGAAATTGGAGGATTTCTATAAAGTTAGATTCTATTTTTTTTATGTTATGAAACAAACATAGAAAGGAAAAAAAAGGATTTCATGAATCCATAATATTGTCTTAAATTTTTTTATGGAATAGGTAGGAATCCATAAAAAAACGCATTTATAATCCTATTCTTGCTCACTAGTGAACCAAACACCCCCTTAAAAGTTCTCAAGTATTTCCTCAAGCCAAAATGTAGCCTTCACAAAAGAATGTTTGTATCACATGAAAGCATAAGCCACTGTGTTAGCATTCCAGAGAACTTACGATCAGATCAAAGAATCGCACAAATCCAGAGTTTTTCGAACCTCATCAAGTAACAAACCCAATAGATGATGATCATAATTTCATTCACGAAGCAAAGATATCAATCATAGACAATTTGATTCCAAACAACCAAATGGTGTTTCAATCTTTCGAGCAAAGCGAAGCTCATCTCATGCACCATCGTAGTCAACAGGGGACCCCNTAGGAGGGAACAAAAATAGTATTGATATGATGAAAATTTTTCGAGTACGTGGAGTATAATATAGATGAGCCAAACAAAAAGAGAAGCATAAACTCTTTCTGTTCTTTCCACTTAATTTTCTAGTGTTTTTAATCCTTGGCCATATTCTTGTCTCTCCTCCCCTCCTTTCTCCTCCAACCTCGCCTGTTTGATCCTTTTTCTGCCCTTCTCCAGCCTCCTCCTAAGGCACACATCCGGCATTCACCCATTTAATCACATTAATTTTGGTTATTTTTCTAACTTTTCCTTTTATAATTCTATTAATCTTATAATTCTTTTTATAATCGCTTGCTAATTTAAGACCGTTTTATTTAACTCCTAACATTTGTTATATTTCTTGTTAAATCTATCAAAATCCTAGTTTAGTTTAAAATAGACTTATGCTAGAGTTAAAAGAAGGATTACAGTAGTTTTAACAATAAATTAACAAAATTCAAGGATAAAAAGATCTAAAATTAGTATTTCAACGTCGCAGAGAATTTAAAAAGAGCGTCAAGTTGGCATATAACTGAAGGTAATAAAGTAGTAATATAATAACTTTTAGCGTACGTAAGTGTAACCAGGGAACAAGTTAGGGTATGTAAGTGCAAAGTAGGGAAAACTATAGGGTATTTTAGTGCAATTGAGCCAACAATAATAAAAGTGAAATCCAAGAAAATCTATGGGGCTTGGGAGTTCACTGTAGTCGGAGTCAGCAGCAGCGATCAACGTCGTCGTCTTTATTCTCTGCTGCAAATAGCCAGCTCGTTGACGTCTCAACTCCGATGGCGTCAGCCGAGGATGACTTCGCCGGCGGCTCCCTGTTTGAGGGCATGATCCTCAATCCCGTCCTCTCGATGAAGATCTGTTCTCGGATCTCACTCTCCAACCCCCATCCCAGCCCCAACCCCTCGAACCAGGCCCTAGCCCTAGCCCTATCAACTCTCACCATCCCCCTTGCCGCCAAATCTCCCGGAAGAAGAAGCGCGCCGTCCGAATTGGCTACGCTCGTGATTCCATTCCTCTCGAGGATTCCTCTCCCCTCCCAGTTCCGGTCCCAATCAAACCCCGAGATGACCAATTGCCCAAAGAAGAGATCTTGCCGGAGGTTCCCCGGGATCAAGTCCACGAGACCACCGGAACCGAAGAGCCCCAGTTGGCCAAGGGTGAGATCTTGCCCGGAGTTATCGAAGATCAGGTCACTGGAACTGCTGCAATGGTCGAAGAGGAACAGAACAAGGAAGAGGCCGTTGGTCCCGTTGAGGACAAGTTGGAGCTTGTCAGGGCTCGAATCTCGTCAAAGCTTGACAAGATTCGAGGGACCGCAGCGCTGGTTTCAGTGCAGAGGAAGGAACTCGGGAGGAGGCGGAAAAAGGCAATGGAGAATGTGATACTGGCGTCAGACAGATACAAGGAACTCGAAAGGCAGCTGGAGGAAGCTTGTGAAGCTGAGGATTTCGAGAGAGCAGAGAGGGTGAGTGAGAGCCTCGCGGAGAAGGAGAAGGAGAAGGACCGGTTATTGGGTGAACTGAGAGATGTGGAGTTGGATTGTGATGCTGTGGATTCGAAGATGCAGGACGTTCTTGAATCACAGATTGCTGCAGAGGAGGAAGGAGCTGCACTGCTTGAACAGTTTGCTAAGGTACGGAGATGTGAGCATTGTAAGTTAAGAAATTTGGAGAGTTTGTGGTTGATTCTATTTTCTTGTGAAATACGAATGCATATGTTCTGCTTAAGTGTTACAACTTCAACAGCCAATATTTATTACCAACTAGAAATTATTGACCCAATAAGGTGGAAATACTTTAGGCGTGATTCATTAGAATGTTATCTACCAGTTAGAAGATCAGATGCGTTGTGCAACATGGAGAATGTAGGTATAACTGGAGGTAAATTAATGAATATGCATGAAATTTCTAGCTTACGCAAGTCAACAGTCGAAAAAACAGAAATATCCCAAAGCTAAAGGTTTGCAATTGAAGGAAACAATCAATGCAAATAAATGACCTCATGAACATGATTATTTCATTTCTATGTATTCGTGGATTGTATACTTGTTTTAGAAGGTGGGACATATAAACAAAAGGTGCAAGAGCAATGAAAACAACATTCTTCTTTCATCCCAATTCCTCAAAAAGCAAAGGAAGAATTACCGTATAGTTTCCTCTATTTTGCACTTATATACCCTCTCTTTTTTGTAACATTTACGCACCCTGAAGTTTTTAAAATTTGCACTTAAATACATTTTGCTATGCAAATGTGAGAATTTTGCCTCGAATTTTCCTATATACTCACAAGCTAATTTTTTACCTTTAAACCTTTGATGTTTGTTGATTTTACTATTAAACCTACTATTTTTCTGTTTTAAAATAGATTTATGGTAGGTTTAACAATATAAGCTTTTTTTTTTACCTTATTTGTTGAATTTACTTTTAAATCTACCATAGTTCTATTTAAAAATAGAATTGTGGTAAGTGTAAATAAATTAGGGTATGTTTAAACTAAAATTAGGGTATTAAAGTGAATTTTAAAAACTTTAGGGTAATAAGTGCTGCCAAAAACAAGTGAGGGTATATAAGTGGAAAGTATAGAAAATTATAAAGTACTTAAGTGCTAATTAGCATATATTCTACGTTACATGTGTACTTCTATTAGAAAGCCATACCCGACACGTACTCGTACTCGTACCTATACCCAAGCCTCTTGGAAACTTCTTGAATATATGTATATGTTTATTCGGGCGTATACTCAATTATATAATACATGTTTTAATTTAAAACACTCCTCATACAGTTCCTGGATGTATATTCTACACTTTACATGTATTTCTTGTATATTGAACTTATGTAAATGAAAAAATAATATTGATTTTATGTAAATTATTAATTTTAATACGTATAAATATACATAACTTGCATATATATGGTCGTGTCCCCGTACCCTACCTTTTACAAATTTGTCATATGTCCCGTACCCGTACCCATACCCATACCCGCACTATTACCCGTACCCATGCAACCTAGCCTATATCTGATCAATACTTGTTTTATAGAAATAATTCTTCGGACTCTTGGATGCATGAAAATGTGTATGTGTGCATATGCATGTAAACTCTTTTTTATCATTATATATTTCAAAGCCATATCGTTATGCACTGCTTTTTTAGGAACCGGCGTGCCTTGCATCCTATTGTTTATCGTGTCTCTTATCTATGTCTATTCTACTTAGGCTAGTATGATGAAGAAGCCTGAGTGGCTACTTAAACAGACTAGCACTCAAGGCAATTAGCTAGTCGCATAGGTAGCTCATGTGCTCGTCTAGGAGACACCAATGTTTTAAAAACCAGCCAATTTTATTGATTTATCGCCGATATATAAGGTTTGGACTATGACCGATATGATTTTTGCAAAAATTTATCATATATAGTTTTTGACCGATTTTTCTCAATATATCAGTGTAAATCCGATAAAGTGGCCGATTTCTCGTGGGTTAAAAATCACTCGATTTTTCACAATTTATATTCTAAGTGAACCGGTTTGGGTTTGGAGAAAAACAACTTTTTCCATACTCGACTTGCATCCACTAAACAAAAACAGTATTATCCTATTTTATTCCATATCCACTGATCATGTAACCCTAATCCTCTCAGCCTCCACAATTCTCTCCCCAAATCACTCACAAATTTCTCAATGAAAGACCTCGGTCGATGGCCTTTCTCGAAGATCCTCTCTCGATATTTCATTAAATGTGCTTATATTACATTTTAAGACATTATATTGTGTATGCTCACCATCCAATATGCCACTCCGATTTTTACTACTTATCCCGATATATCCCCGATATCCAGGACTCGATATGAATTTTGGTTGTCCAATATACTTCTGATAACTAATATTGAAAACTTTAGGAGACACTAGGTCCCCTTTGGATGCTTAGAACATTCTAGCATTTTTATGATATTGTGATAGACATATTGGCATAGTAAGCAGAAGTCCTTCAAGGCATTTTAGTTCCTGATAATTTGATGAGATAGTAGATGGAATTGTAGACAATCCAAAATGACTAGAAGATTCTCAAAAGTCCGGCAACATAATAATTCTATGTTTCATGGCTCCACCAAGGGCAAAACGATCATTTGATATGATCATTAGACTCATTAAGGTTATATGAGTCTACAATTGATTTAGGATAAAAATATAAAAAGAGAATTGCTTGTAGATAGCTTAGAATAAAATGTAGTGCATTCTCAACCCTAAAGAAAAGTCAACTACTTAAAACCCCTAACACTACTTTGCACCTCATGTCCTGCTTATTAGTTTTGCTATACGATGATCCTGTGAGTTATACTTTTCGGAACCTTAGAGGCTTGCGAATGTTCTAAAAAAACTGATTAGTATTCTGTTATGCTGATGAAAATGTATGCTTGACAATCAATATGTAAACACTGGTATTATTGTAGATATACCTTTTTCTTGTGTTATAAAGTTTTTTTTTTATCCCCGGTAGCCCTGGTAAGGATGTTGTTTCATAGTCTTCACTGTGCTTCATGTGCATTTATAAAGAAAAATAACCATTATCATGTAGCTTTACCTACAGTTGCTAACTCCAACATTGCAGGATGCAACTGATCATGCAGATTTAGTTCTTAGAAGAGCAGAAGAAATATCTTCAAAACAAATAGGAGAATGGGAATCCTCAATGCAGCTTTTGGAGATTAACAAGATGGAAATGGGCATTGAATCACAACTTGTGTCCGAAGCACGTTCAGGATTGGAAAATTCCATCGAACACTTGGTTGAAGATGACAGGAAAGAAGTAGAATTATTGAGAACAAAACAGGGTATTTTTTCAGAGGAGTTGGATCAGCTATTGGCATTGGTAAGATTGAAAGAAGCAGAGATTGCTGAAAATGATTCTCAAATCCAAAAGGTTGAGAAGAAAATTTCTGATGTCATCTCTGATTTCCATGAGACACAAGAAAATATTAAAATGAAGCATGAGAACCTTCAGCTGTCTCTCTCAAAGCTAGAGTCTGAACATGAGGCCTTATCTACTAAAAAGAAGGAAATTGATGAATTCATTTTGCAAGCACAACAGAAGAGTTCAAGCCTTCAGGAACTTGCCAGTGTTTCTTTGGATGAAGTCAGAACCTGTCAAAATTGGGTTGGGTTGAGAAAGAGTTTGGCATCCTCAATTCTGAAATCCAGAGAGGATAAAGTCAAATTCGCAAAGATTGAAGAGAGGATTTTGGAAGAAATTCAGATACTTCGTCAACAGATTTCTTCTGCCAGAACTACTCTTCAGGTTTGTTTCTATCTTGAAAATTCAGATGACTGGTTCAAGGAAATAGTTCATTCCTCGTCTGTGAAAAGCAATTTCCCTTCTTTGCTTTTGAGCTCTACCCTAAGGGCCTGTTTGTATTTGCCCCTAGCAAAGGGAAGTTAAGTAAACATAGGATAAGTTAAGTTAGGTAAAGTTTTAAGTAATTTAAGATTTGTAGGACACTTTCCCCAACAAGAATTTGATGTGCTATTCACCTCATAAGCTCTAGACAACTTCGTGCTTTGATATATCCATGTGAGCATATACACATACTCATATGGGTCAACATACATATATAGTTCGAAATATGCATATTTGGTCATGCCTTTATTTCAAGAATTTGGGGGATTTCCATGCAAGACGCTCATGTTTGTCTACCAATCATAGGGTTACCTCCTAAGGTTCTTAGCTAGAGCTTGGAAACAATATGTTCTCAGACCAGTGAACTACTCATTTACAATTGATTGATGGATACATGCTCGTACCAGCACATAAACCTGTTTAACTCGTGAACGATATGAGCTCATTGATATGAATCCGACCTGTGCCCTTATGGGGTCAAATGCTGTACTACATAAATTACCGATTCATGGAAACTAGAATTTATGCTTTATGTTTAACCAATATGTATATAAACAGGACCTGATTGCCTCTTCAATTCGCTACTCTCCATTTAAATGACTTTCTATGAAACCAGTTCTGCCTCTAAGCTTTGGTTATACTCAAGCGCCATTTGGCTATTCCCTTTATTTTTTTAGACGAGTTTATAGCAAAGCCCATCCGTCCATCGTGGGTCAGGCCACTGCCTAATCATACTAATATATTGTTGGCTACTACTCTTTTTTAGCTGCTTCATGAAGTAGTTATGCAATGAAGTTGTAGTAGATAGTCAAAAGATAGGGGTTATTTTCTGATATTTAAAAGTCTGTGAAGTCGAATGGGAGAGTAGTGGATGAATGACAACTTTATACTAGAAAGGATGCATTTAGTGATATTTTAAATGAGGATATAATGCCATGACCTCAAAACGTGAAGATGTGTAGGGGTCAGTTGTAATTGACCTTAGCTAAATGTATCTTTTATACATCCTTAAAGTTCCTATTAAGGAAAAATTTGTCTTAGGCCCCAAATTAAGAATCATCATGTGACTCAGCCTATGACCAAAGTCAGTAAGTTCAGTATATTTGCTTTTTCTGTAACACCTGATAGTCGAAACAACCAGCTTAATCCTACTAGTATGTTATGTTATGACTTATGATCATATTCTGCTTATCTTCTTCAGGAGCTATCGTCAAACAGAGTGAGTATCCAGCAAGAAATTGCATCATATAACCAAAGAATAGGCTTCATCGAGAAAAGGGGGCCTGAGCTGGAGGCTGAAAAGAAAATTGCTGCTGCTGCAAGAAATTTCAAGGAAGCAGGGCGGATAGCTGCTGAGGCTAAGGCACTGAACATGGAGAAGGAAAGCTTGGAAACTAAAATAGAGAAATCTGTTTTAGACCTAAAGAAGTTAGAGGGAGATATCAAAGACACAGTTGACAAAATACAGGAGGATGAAGGCCTGATCTTACTTAAAGAAAAAGAGGCGGCTATGGCAGGTTGCAAGAGGCTTCGGCTAGTTGCTGCTTCTGCAAGGGCAGAGAGATCAGCAGCTCTCGAAATGGGTGATGAAGAAGAAGGGGACAGTCTACTGAAAGAGGCTGAAGCTGCTGATTCCAAAGCAAGGGAACTTCAAGAAACCTATGATCTTGAGCCTGAGGATATTGGGAATGCCTTGGAGCACTCTGTTTCCATATCATTGATAACCAATCTCGCAGGAGAACAATTAGCCAAGATGGCTTCTTCACTCAATCTTTCTACAAATGTTGAGTCATAACTTTAGTCGGTATATGTACATGAGTGGTGATGCCCCTTGAAAATTTTGCAGAATAATTGTTTTTTTTTTCTGTGCCTCTTGGCGGCTGACTGTTCTTTGAAATCTTCTGTTTTTTATTTATGTTTGAACAAAGTAATTTGATTTCTTTTGCCAGCATGATTCGAAATTGGTATGTATGTAACATTTGTTCAATTTCAATAAAATTTTGTGCAATATTGTAATAGAGATTTCTTGTTTCGTATTGACAGTATTCTGCTCAATAGCCTCTTTTGGTGTGATGCTCTTTGAAATCTTCTGTTTTTTATTTATGTTTGAACGAAGTAATTTGATTTCTTTTGCCAGCATGATTCGAAATTGGTATGTATGTAACATTTGTTCAATTTCAATAAAATTTTGTGCAATATTGTAATAGAGATTTCTTGTTTCGTATTGACAGTATTCTGCTCAATAGCCTCTTGTGGTGCGATGCTCTTTGAAATCTTTCTGTTTTTATTTATGTTTGAACGAAGTAATTTGATTTCTTTTGCCAGCATGATTCGAAATTGGTACGTAGGTAACATTTGTTCAATTTCAATAAAATTTTGTGCAATATCGTAATAGAGATTTTTCCTTTCGTATTGACAGTATTCTGCTCAATAGCCTCTTGTGGTGCGATGCTCTTTAAAATCATCCTCCATTGTTCTCGAGCGCTAGAGTTACTTGTATGGTTTTATTTCAAAAGGGTTAGTGAATCAAATGAATCTTTTAGTAAGATTCTAGACACCATTTACCGAAACACCGAAAGAAATCTCACTGAAAGAATAGGTTTCATTTCATTTCATGAAAATACCAATACATATTCCTATTACATAAGAGATCTAAACAACAAAGACTTAAATTTGCCTACTGCGGGCATACAAATTTGCCTACTGCGGGCATACATTGACAAGCAAAAGCAAAAACTAGAGCATCTCAAGAACAGCATCAGCCTTCAGCATCCCACAGGAAACCATCTCTTGTAAATTCTCGCTCTCTTCTTCCTCTTCTTCTCATTGCGACACACTGCGCTCGCTCTTTTCTCCATGGCTTCGATCCCTTCCTTCGAATCCTTCAACATTAACGCAATTCATTCATGCACATCACAATACAAACTAAACAACTTGTATTTGTATTGCAAAAACAAAATCAATGGGAATACATTCACCTTTGATTTGGATTTGTGACCTTTGAGCTCTCTCCACGGTGCTCCCACAACTCTGCTCGAGCTCAATGTATTCATCTTCTTCTTATTCTTCTCCGGTCCATTCTCGTTCATTTGGCTCATCGTCGACGAAGAAGAAGGATCTGCATTTCCCTGGTCCAAATCAGAGCTCAGTTGCCGGATTCTTGACTCGAGTAAGTGAACCCGGTCCATCAAGGAACCCTTGAGCCGGACGTCTTTGAGGGCTGAAGTCAGCGACTTGCTCACCGCTGCACGCCTAAGATCTGCAGCGAAATAGCTCTCCGGGAGAGATTGCTTCTCTTCAAGCTGCGTCAGCTGCAATCAAACAACAAGAAGAGATCATAAGTGATGCACGTCTGCAAATAACTCTAAGTTGATTAATGTTATGATGACTGAAAGAGATGGAGAGCTCACTCGGATGTCGAGCTCGTCGAGCTTCCCAACAATCAACGACTCGGTAGAGGG